TGCACATGTCCATACCAGCATAACTGCCTGGACATGACGTCGTGCACGATATCTTTCTCAACCTTCATCACCTGGCGAATTCTCTCATTACGGACACGGTCCCGTCTCGAAATGCCGGCAGATCGCCGCCAAAAATCCATTTCAGTTGCCCTCAACATTTCTTGCGTTCTTTTCGTCAAAGGCCACACTTCACTACCATAGAGCACGATACTTTTAACGATGGCGTCATATATCCGGTGCTTGTTTGCCTTTGAGATGCTCTGATCTGAACTCTAGATCCAATGTGTTTTTTTCCTGTGAATCGTGATATGATGAATAATGAGATTTTTCCAAACAGCAACATTCTATGTTCAATATTAACTAAGATATCGCGCATTGAAAAATTACGTTTATGACGTTATCCACCGCGGTAGTGACATCTTTGATTTCTCCCACCATGATGGAATAAACAAAGGGTGTCACTACCAAGATGGATGACGTCATACACCGAATTTCTCAAAGTGCTATATCTCGGTTAATATTAAACGTAAAGGGCTTCGGTTTGGACAGATCTAATTATTTTTAGCTGCTGATCTACAAGAATCAAGCATCGAAACACGCCTCTGAGACCAGCGCAAGTGATCCATTGCAGACAATATGGGATCTTAATTTTACATTGTCTGAGGTTTCATTTTTTCACGAGAAGCCACGCCGAAAAAATTAATTGCTAATCTAGTATCTTGCAAGTCAAAAATGTGCCCATTAATCCGTAGATGTCCTAGTTTTTTTTTTTAATTTTACATCTTCATTATGCATACTTATAACTGCTAACTGGGATTCAGGGATAACTTGACCCATTTTTGACATCATAGATGCAAAAGCAAGAAATTGATTTTTTCGGTGAAGTTTGGAGGTGAAAATTCTTTGAAAAAAATCTCTGATTGATTTTTAAACAGCAATTAGAAACCAAATGTACTCTCGTGCTTAGTTCACTCGTGTTTCCAATAAAACCCGAAATTTATCAATTTTCATGCACCCGCAAATGAACATTTTTTGGTAAAATGGCGTATGACACTTCCAATGTTGCTAAGACTGTGCAATGTATAGTTATCTAGTTGTAAGTAACTTATCCGACAGTTCTGCTTTGAATTGTTCCCTAAATCTGCTCCGAGTTTTTCCTCACTATTGTCAGGAAGTAACTTGACTAAAAATGAAACTCATCTGCTTTAAACGCTGTAAAATATTGCACAATCTTAGCAACATTGCAAGCCTAACACGCTTTTTTGCCGAAAAAGTCCTCAAATTCTCCACTCCAATCAGAGAATTAGATATTTTGAACACAGGAAAAAAATGTCGCTTGGATCTGGAGTCCAGATTCTTAAAAACAATGTCAAGAAAAAATACTCACTGGAGAAAAAACACATTGGATCTAGAGTCCAGACTCTTAAAAACATCGTCAAGAAAAAATACTCCTGATTCAATCAGATTTAAGCTTAAATCAAGAACCAAGCCTCTTAATGTGAGCGGATTTCCTTTCGATTTAAGCTTAAATCTGATTGAATCAAGAGTCCTTTTTCTTGCCAATGTTTTCAAGAGTCGCTAGACTCTAGATCCAATGTGTGTGTGTGTTTTTTTTTTCCAGTGCTCTTGATTCAATCTGCTTTTTGCTTGAATCAAAAGGAAATCCGCTTAAACGAAAAAACTTGGTTCTCAATTTAAGCAAAAATCTGATTGAATCAAGAGTATTTCTTCTTGTCGACGTTTTTGTCTTTTGTCGTCTGGACGCCAGATCCAGGCGACTTTTTTCCAGTGAATCTGAAGAAAAGATGTTTTCACAGCGACTACAAGGAGAGAAGTCTCTTGGCAACCGCATATTCTCAAATAAAAATCCATACATTGTGCGTGCAAAAACTGGGCACTACCCTTTGAAAATTCAAAATTCAGCACCATGAATCCGCACTGGCCTCCTACGCAACGGAGCCCGTCTATCAGAAACGTACGCCTCAACATGTGTACTTCAAGAAGGGCCTTTGCCCTCAATTTGGATTCTTGACGCAGTCTCCCGGAACTGAAGTTTCAAACAGTTCAATACACATTGCTGAATGAAAATATTCCACACTCAATGCACCTCACTCCCCCCAAAACTCCCCCCCCCCCCGACCTTCAAGGCCCGCATCTATGACTTCGCTACGAGGCTGATAATACCACACCCCCACCGCAAGATGCTCGCAGCGGGTTGCTTCAAAGCAAGGTCGCCAGATTGTGTGCAAAAACCTGGGAATTTCATGGCGAGTTGAACGGGGCTGTGTGCTGAATTTTCATCAAAATCTGGCAACGATGCCTGTAACAGAAACCAACAGAGGAGGCATTCGCCCTACTTGGGAAGGGATTCAAGGCTGTGCGATTTTGAGATGCAGCGAGGAATCATCCGAAATCGATTTGTGTTTCAGATATTGATACTGCCTTGCTAAGGAAGAACGCCGTATGAGCCATCAGGCAGTGCCAAATGGCTTTCGAAAAAACACGAATTTTAAGGAAAATTTGTGAATATTTCTCCTCTCATTTTTTAGAAGATATCGTTCGTAATTTGATCTAAAAAGTCTGAAAATTTAAGGAAGAATGTTCATAACTTTCTTCAAAAATGAATTGTTCCTTATAAGGGATTTGGCAACATTTGAAAGCTCATACTGCGTTTTTACTTAGCATTGCAGAATAGAAGGTCTGACATGTGTTTCAAACTATTATGTGTGGGAGTTTGAATCATATGGATGATCATATATTAACAACGTCTTCTCTTCTCTGATCCTAGAGACAAATGGACCGCGCTATACAGAAAGGAACCAAGCCACATCCGCTATTGCCAAATTTAATTTTTTACATGAAAACGGTTGTGCGGATTTTCGTGTGAATTTCAGCGGATTTTACCATAATGCGAAGCAAATTCCCTGAAATTTTCAAAGGAGTCCACACAAACATCCTCTCGTATAAAATTAAATTGCTCAGTTCATTTTGGCAATAGCTGATGTGGCTTGGTTCCTTTCTATTAAAACGCGGTCCAAATGCCCATACTTGACAAATCTACATTGGTCACGTCAACGTCAAACCAGCTTGTGGACAGATTTTTTTGGACGAGGAAATGAGACGATCAAGATTGAGCTGAAAATTTTGGGCAATAACCACTGATAGATCACTCGAATTGTATAAAAAATAACTTCAGCCTGGTTCGTTGTGATTGTATATCAGGCTTGTAATGAATACAGGCACCCCAGAGGAATTTAGTTGGAACTCGTCACCCCCTGGATGCATTCGTGCAAACTCGGATTTACTCGATACAGCGTTCAGTGATATTGTCAAGCTGTATGCGTAAATATATCTTTTCCGCCTAAAGTATATTCATTCAAAAACATGTTCATGAGTAAAAAACTGGCATCCTTTTCTTCAGCGTTGCAAATGGTGTCAGGTCACCCACATATTTTAGAATCGACTCCAAGATAAATTTTCAGTATATTTTAATAAATTGGCAACTCTAGCAGATGCATACGGTATTAGAAATGTGGGACTGACGCGGCCCTGATAAAATACAACCTCGAAGGAGCAATGAGCAAGGGCGAGGCACGAATGATCGAAAATCGATATTTCTCCATTTGAATCTATGGTAAAGAATCGATTCTTAAGGTGTTCGATTTCATCGATCTTTTTCCATGGGTTTAAATGACAGATCGATCGATACATCGCAAAGCACGCCACGTCACTGGCAATGAGACGGTAATAACTAAAAACGGCGGTTGTTTAATGTAAATTATATCAGACACACGTCATTTTACACCGTATGGGCTTATATACTACCACATTGATCAGAAACAACGTAACCACCATGCGTTTCCATAGTCTTTGATCTGCTTCAGTGCCTTGTTGCATCTGCATTATCTGCACTGCACACTGGTGGTTGCACGCCTCGAATCTACGGCGCACAGTGGGTTGAGTCAATAGGAGAGGTCGGACAAAATTTGGAAAATTTAAACGCTAATAACTCCGTTTATACAAAACTTTCAGATCCTGAAAGTGGCTCCACTGGTTTCCTCGTGAGATTTTCTTCTAGAGACACCCCGAACAATTTAAAGTGTGACGAATTGAACATCAAAATTTGCAGTTTTAGTTAAAAATTTCATGTCCGACCTCTCAAATTGGCTCGATCCACTGTGCGCCGTCTAGTCATAATCGCAATGAGGTCTTAACTTTACAGGGTTATCTAGAGTTAAACGGTCTGACTGTAGGAGCATGTTCTAAGGGTGAAAATAAGTCTTTTTTGTTGTATAAAGTTTTTTCCAAAAGTGCCCCCAGTCGGTGCTACGGCCCTCCCAACATTTCGGATAGTAAATCGTTTTTTTCTGAATTTTGGCATTAGTTGTGAACCAAATCCCGCGGAAATGATTACACCGCTGTACTTCTATGCCCTGAATTCATAAATGGTCTTTAAAAAATCGAAATTTAATTTAAAATGGGAGATTGAGGGTGTTTCGGCTCCTGCAGTCTGGCCGTTTATTCCTGGATCACCCTGTATACTAAAATTAGCCGTTGACCGCTGGTTAAAACTACTCTAAATCGGAGGAACCCTCAGGATTGAGTGCAATCAATTTCTTTTGAAAGAAATGTATCATTTGAAAAAAAGTTTTGATAAACTTTCAAATTTTTAATGATTTTGAAGAATTTAAAAAAAAGAAAAAAGGTTTTGATGAACTTTAAAATTTTTAGTGATTTTGGAGAATGAAATAAAAAAGGACCAAAATGAACGGCAAGAATGGATCATTCATTTTAGGGGCTTATGTAAGTCACAGTTTCGTCGATGAGAAAACAATGACGGAAGCCAAACAACAGGGTTCATTGCAGAGAATAGATACGCCCCTATGTCAGGCTGGCGACGAATTTACCAATCCATATTGTGGCCATGACGTAAAAAGTTGCATTCCAGAAGAGGAATAGCAGGTGAAGAAAAGGGAAACAGTATGAAATAAAAACGTAAATTTTTCCTGAGAGACAGTTTTGTACTTTCTCGGTTTGACGAAGAAAAACAATTGTACAAGAGAAGGGATTTATCATCCCCCACCTGTTTAGCTCAGGTTTCAGCTTCTAGTAGCATGGTTTTGGGTAAGCGGGCTCGGCGCAAGGTGCAGGGGGGCAGACCTCTTCAACGATGACGGCGGCAGGGGCGAGGGCTTCGTTGAAAGCGGGGGCGGCGTACTCGTCGACAACAACCGGTTTCTGGGAGTAGACGTTGAGGGCAGCGGACTGCTTGTGCTTGATGATGTAGGGCTTGCCGAAGTAGTTGATCTCGTAGGGGACAGATTCGTGTTCGATCACTCCGGGGGCCTGGAGTCCGACGATAGCGGGAGCCGGGAGCACGGACTTGATGACGACGGGTTTGATCACCGGAAGGGGCGGCTTCGGGCAGGACACCTTGGAGTAGACGGGCACCGGGTTGGCGGCGGCGAGGTTGAGGACGGCCAGGGCGGCGACGACAGCGACGAAAGCCATTTTGGAGAGATGGGTGGTGATGGTACTGCTTGGAGATGAAGTGAAGAGAGGATTGATACTGTTTGAAGTTGAGTAAAGAGCTTTTATACACACCGAAGACAATCGGATTGATAGGGTTTTCGAAGATCTGGGAAGAATATCAAGGTGCAATCGCAATCGTCAGCGTACCGAGAGGCTAATCTCGATTGACTGTTCTGAAGGTAGAGATTTCCCTGCAGTTAGACGCTGAACGAACCGCGTAAAGAATGGACACTTGTATCACGGTCATTCTTGTTTTGGCGAGATTTTTGGCAAACTCACGTCAAAGATGCTGAGAGGAAAGTCAAGGTACTCGAATTTTCCTCGCAATGCTGACCTGAGAATAACTGGATTTATTGCACAGAAGCGAATCAAATACCCGAAATTGTTTCATAATGCTGAGAAAAATATTCCTTGCGTCAAAAAACTGACTAATGGTGTTTTATGAAATGTTGGTAGTGATAAGATATGTTTCATTGTTGCGACGAAATTTCCTTTTCACATTTGAGCTTTAATGTTTTTCTGAAGTTAACAAATGTCATCGCGACAGGGAAAAATGCACTGTCATAACTGATATGTTCACACATCACAATCTTAACTAAACCTCCAGCTGTTTCGGCGCCAGCCATAAGAGGAGTTGCATTAGCTAGAGGTGTCAAGGCACTATTATAGCCAGCGGTATAGTTATTCCGGCCACTCTTATGCTGACTGTGTGGGCATCCAGCTAGAGGTGTAGTTAATCCAACCACACTTTTAGCTGACTTAACCATACCTCTGACTTGTGCAACATCCTTAATATCTGGCGCCAAAATCTGCAGGGATTACAGTTGGGATCATGATACTTTTCTTCCGTGTATGTCGCCTACAAAAGACTCATCTTACAAGACTATAATCGCGTAAAATTAGTTTATAATATACAATAATGTACACTGACTAAGTAAACTCATCATTTTTGCCAAAAGAGCGGATTTATGCGTTGCGGTCCAAATGCTGCGACGCGCTCGGTTATGTAACTCGCAGAGGCGCGCCCACCGAATTGGCTATTTAACCAGCAAAACACGGTTCTGTGATTGGCGCGCCGTCAGCCTCGCGTGACCTTTCATCAACACATAGATTTTAATTGCTCAAACCCTCTTCGTTTATCAAGAAAAATATTTGCGTTCCTGTGTCACATTTGATCAATGTGAGAGATGGAACACAAAATAACCAGTACTCAGCGAAAAAGAATAATACAAACCGAAAATGTGGTTGAGAATGTGGTCTCTTCCGAGCGATAATTCGTCCCTCCTGAGGGACAACTAACGTCTTCTGAGAGACAACTTGTGTTTCTTGAGGGACAATTTGTCTCCCGTGAGGGACAACTTGTGTCTTCTGAGGCATCACTTTTCTCTCCTGCAAGAGACAAAATTTCTCTCTCGAGGGACAAAATTTCTCTCCTGAGAGACAACTTGTCTCTCTTGAGGGATAAGTAGTCTCTCCTGAGCAATTACTTATCGCTCGTGAGAGGCAACTTTTATCTCCGGAGAGACAACTTGTGACCCTTAAGGGACAACATGTCTCTCCGGAGAGAAAAGTTGTCGCTCAAGAGAGATAAGTTGTGTCCCCCGAGGGACATTTGTATGTTTTTTCAATTCTCGCTGCCCTCACTTACAAAATTTCTTGGGCACTTTTTCTCTTGATGCAATGAGTTGATGTAAGAGTATGAGCAGCACAGTGGTGGTGCCATTACGTGTAATGGAGTAACTACTGAATTTCTGAATACAAAATGACAAAGTTACCCTCCAGCGCACATGCAGATCTTAGCTAGAGCTTTCGGTTGTCAGAAGCATTAAGGAGGCTCATGCATAAGGGGATGTGTTTACATACGTAACCCTTGTATTAACGGACCACCAAACAATGTGCAATTTTCAGAATTTTTATACATGTTTTCTACTCAAACTTGCACGTAAAACACAATTTTTGCAACGGAAATTGTTGAAATCAACTAGTTACTTACGATTTTTCATGCATGAATTCAAACTTTCCATGAGGAAAAAACATGATCAAATTGAGTTAAATCCCGCAATAAACATTACCGAGGTAATCCCTGTGGTATGTAAATGTGACATTCTCCGTCTCAGCGCTTCGGTTCAGCTGCTGTTTCTAGTTTACTTTTTGAACAACACAGGCCGAAAAGGCGAAACTGCTCAGTTAAAAAGCCTGCTAAAAATACTATAATGCGCGATTTGAATAACGTAGGCTCTAGTTTTCTTTCTGGTTTTCCTTATGAATAAGAAGCTCAAATTATTCATATCTCTGAAGAAAAACATTAGTATCTTAGAAAGGAGTAGAATTGAGTAATTTTCTTCCCGAGAATCATGTTTTACGTGACATTTTGAAGACGAGGAATGCACTAGTGTGTTTTTAGTACTATCTCTAGTGTTCTTTTCTTTGGAATCTTATTAATTGATTTATCAGGTCATTTGGACGTATTTCTATCAAACAAAACTACGTGCATTATGACATGAGCCCCGTTATGCACATACTCTTAGGAGTCTCAGGGCTCATTCCTTAGTGCACATAGTTCCGTTTAATCGAAGCACGTTCATTTATTGAACTTGTGAGTCGCCCCTTTCAATCGGTAATGATTGACTTATGCGTCTACTTTCTACATCCCCTAGATGCGTTATCTAATATTATTGTCTGAATTAGGAAGCATCAGTTATTTTTTTGGTGAGGCAGTGGAAGAAAAAACATCATTATGTATCCTGAGTAGTGATTTTTTATTTCCTTCTTTTCAAAAAGAAAAATTAATCCAAGGGGCTGATTCAGCCCCGAATTTTCGACTCAGGTTCTTAGTAGCACGGTTTCGGGTAAGCGGGCTCGGCGCAAGGTGCAGGGGGGCAGACCTCTTCAACGATGACGGCGGCAGGTGCGGGGGCTTCGTTGAAAGCGGGGGCGGCGTACTCGTCGACAACAACCGGTTTCTGGGAGTAGACGTTGAGGGCGGCGGACTGCTTGTGCTTGATGATGTAGGGCTTGCCGAAGTAGTTGATCTCGTAGGGGACAGATTCGTGTTCGATCACTCCGGGGGCCTGGAGTCCGACGACAGCGGGAGCCGGGAGCACGGACTTGATGACGACGGGTTTGATCACCGGAAGGGGCGGCTTCGGGCAGGACAGCTTGGAGTAGATGGGCACCGGGTTGGCGGCGGCGAGGTTGAGGACGGCCAGAGCGGCGACGACAGCGACGAAAGCCATTTTGAGATTGGTGATTGTTGACGTTTGATGGTAAACAAAGGAATGATGCTCTACTGGCTTTGAGGTGTAACTTTTATACACGTTGAGAATATGAGCGGACAGATTTGAAGGTGCGAAAACTCGAATGAATGTCACAGTTAAGTTTGTTTATTTTTGATTAGCGAGACAAGCGTCAGTCAAACCAGGTCATGGGTGATAAGCCCAATGATTAAGATCTCGCTTTCGGATGTTCAATGGACCAGTTTATGGATAAAACCGTTGCACGTTCTGTCATATCTCTTTTGATCAGATCACGAGTCTTTGTACTGGACTTGAAGTGAATGTAGTTCTTCTTTCAGAAAGAAGTTCTTCCAAGCACAAAAGTTACCTATTCGTCGAATTTAATCGCATTGATATTTTTCCCTCGCTAGAAAAATTAAGGAATATTTTTTCGGTATATCATGGTATATCGGTATATCGGTAATACACGTTCGACATGAACTAATCATGAGACGAAGTACTTTTTTGTAATGATTTTTGGGAATATTTTTAGTTTATACACATATCCTGACAACAATGGATGTTCTGTTTTATAAGGCGAACTCACAAATTTAGCGACAGCTACGCTGAGAAAAAAGAACGAGTGCCTTCCGTTCACGGGGTATGCAATATGGGCGTCCGTAAAGTACGAATAGTTGTATCCAGAAAAAGCGCCATCTTTGCAGTCATATCCTTGCCTCCTATACTAAGGAAAGTGAAGACTTTTCAACGTTGCAAAATTTCCCTTAAAAGATTGTATTTTTAAAGAGAGCCTTGCGGACACTCTCCTTGAATATTGCACTGATTTTCTTCTTAATAACGGGTTGATAAAGAATTTTGCAGGGATACTTTTATAAAACATTGAATTGTTAGAGTCGATTGTAAAACTTTGATATGGAGCTGAATTCCTTCGTCTGGAAGATAACGATATATGGATGGCTAAAGTGCAAAATCATATATCCTTATTGCGGTGTTTCAAAATTTCCGCTCCAACTTTATCTTTTCACAGATAAACAAGCAAATTTTACGGCTTGAAATTGATGCAGAATATTCTCCTGCTAATAAAAAAAAAATCTTAGAATTTCTTAAGAAATTCTGTTACAAAATCTTCCAAAGAAAAAATAAAGTATGAAAGGAAGTTTGCAACGCCAAAAAGGAGATGCGCGGTTTCGCACCTTAGCCGTCAATATGTGTGCGCGTGTTTTGTGATATATCGATCAATCTGCCATTTATTCCTATGGAAAAGGATCGATAAACAGAGTTTTCGCAGCGAACACCTTAATAGTCGATTATGTATCAGGGCTTCAAATGGGGAAAGATCGATACTCGATCATTCACGGCACGACACTGCCTCAGTTTGAGAATGCATATGCATGGAGAAAATAAAGGTTGATTTTGTAAAAGATAAAATATTAAAAATTAGGAAGCCGATATCTGTAACCTGTACGATAGGCTACACCCCGCTGTGCCCAAAAAAAGCGAGTGCCTTCAGTTTTTGCGGTATGCAAAGTGGGCATCCGTCAAGCATGGATAGTGGCATCCTGTAATAACGCTAATTTTGCGCGTCAGATGTGTACACCGTTCGAACCGAGCCTTCACGGAGAAATATTCAATATTCACCGTTTTCCTCTCAATGTTTTCTTCTCTTGTCAGATTCAAATGCAGATTCCACCACCAAAGGATTTTTCTCCTCTGGTTTCAGAGCTTGTTAGCAGTGGCGAGGCGTGCGTGATCGATTATCGATATTTCCCCATTTGAAACTATGGCAAAGAATCGATTATTAAGGTGTTCTTTGTTTATCGATCCTTTCCTATAGATTTAAATGGTAGATCAATCGATATATTGCAAAGCACACCACGCCACTGGTTGTTAGAGGTGAATAAGCCAACCAAGCGGGACAATCAGGGTTGTGCAAAAGCAGAGAATGAACCGAAGCATCCGAAGCGAATGCTGGACTGTGTTTTTGTGCCAATCCTATATAGTGACATATTTGACTAAACTTGGAGTAGTTGTTCCCGGTAATCCAGAATTGCTCGAAATATCTAAGAAAATATTTAAGGATTGTGCGAAAAAGGCACAAAGATTGCGCGGAAAGAAACCTTAACATCTGCTACTGGAATGCGCGAATTTTAAAATGAAGTAATTTAAGGTAGAAGTTTGGCAAAGCAGGAAACAATTGGAACATGAACGTATTATTATGTTACGCGAGTTTAGGATAGTTTGTTGACAAATCATCGATGTCTTACCCTCTGATGATAAATGAAGTGATATGATTGGATATTGGTCGAGGGTATAAAGAACTCACCTAACTTGTCTCAGAAAAAAAATATTTACTCGGGAGAAACGAGGCAACGTTGAAAAGCTTATGCGGCGGCAAAATACACCATGGGCCTTAAATTCTATCATTCGATGCCGCAATTATTGTGACGGGAGTTCGGATAATCGCGCCAAACAGTGCAGCCGGCGTTAAACGTATATTGGCGCCTGCAAGACTGTAGGGATACTTCTCGCATTGCGCCAAACGGTGCGGTCGGCGGCTCGGCGCACAGCCCGTATCAGCGCCTACAAGACTGCATGAATACTTCTCGCATTGCGCCAAACGCAGTGCAGTCGGTTAGTTGACCTGAAACGAATATATATCAGCGCTTACAAGAATGTATAGGAATTCTGTTAGACTGCGAGTCATCATTTTTGACTTTCTGCTCCAGTTTTTACCATTATTAAAGGGGAAATATGTATCCTCATTGTAACGATTCATACACTTAGATAAGATTTAATTTTGTTTTGGTTACATTAAAAGAAAATAGAACGAACGGAAACATCGCGTCGAAATTTTTGATACTTTTATTTGAGATCATAGCTCATAGAGGTGAATTCGCGGAAACTTTTCAGAAAAACTGTGTGTAACTTTTTAAAAATATATATGAAAAAGAAAACATGAAAGTGGTGCAATTGGTGCATAACGCTACAATCAGAGATAAATATACGCTTTCTTTCGAGTGCACCCGTCGTGTTTTGAATCCATCCATGTCTTAAGAAACTTGAACATGGTTGTTCTACGATTTTTTTACGTGTGATGTTTTTTCTTAGTGGTTGGTGGCCAGAAGCCCCCAGTTTACTTTTTGAATGTCTACGAAAGCTCTCTGGGCCATTCGCGCTGCGAGAGCTATCGAAGAGAGACATGCCCGTAAGTGAATAGGGAATGAACAGTCTTCCGCGATGTAGCTATCTACCACGGACTACCAAGTTTGCCAGATTAACGCTTCCTCTTTGAATATTGAATATTATCGCAGATATCTGTGGTTTTCAGTGCCAGAAAAATTCGCGCAATCCCATGCATATCCAAAGAGGGTATGGCCTGGTTACACGCTCAAATTTCCGTCAAATTCCGATCAAAATTATGACCAATATGGCGGTCGAGAGTTATCTGGATTGATAAGTAAAATTAATTAAAACAGCGTGTTGATTGAAATAAGCATGAAATAAGCACGGTTGTGTGGAAATCAGATGAAGAGTGAGCCCCACAGCTCCATCATCTACCATCAAATTTTTGCATGCCGCAGAAATTTGATGGTAGATGGTGCGCAACAGTCACCATCTGATCGGAAATTGATGGAAATTCGAGCGTGTAACCAGCACATAAAAGAGGGGGCATTCGCGCAATTCTATCGCAGCCGCTGTTCCTAAAAAACAAGTAGTGATGCAAGCACATAAGGAGGGGTGTTCATTGTACCTTTTGATTGTTACCCAAACATTAATAAGGGCTTTTGAAAACTTGGTACTCCTTACTACCTTTCTTTATGAAACGCATTTTTAGACCTCCTTAATTCGTCGGTTCCTCGGACGAAGGAACGTAACTCCATTCCAAGGTTGCGAGAGTGACTCAATTAATTCAATTTTTACAAAAATACACTCGAGCAATTTTTGTCCAAAATTTGTCTGATGTTTGTATGAGAAAGGGAAATCAGTGTGATTTTCAGTCAGAAATGCCCAAGATATCACGGTGAAAATGCAATTCTCGGGGGAAATCTGGCAACATTGGAATATAGTTACGTTCCTTCGTGAAAGACGAGACGAATTCATTAAATCCGTAATTCCTGACTTTTAAGACGCCAATGAGGCTCTTTTCTGTTGCATCTTTGCAAGATGTTAGCTATTAGGCTAATTCCTTCCACGTAAAAAGCAGTAAGGACTGGAATCACCATTAATGAGGAAAACAAGTTTTGTTCCCGACGAATGGCGATTCTAGCAAATCGGTAAAATTAATTTTTCTTCTTTCAAACGTAAAGAAAACAATCGATTCTGAGCGAGGAGACCTAGAATCAAAATTTTTCCCGAATCTGAGATGATAAAAAAAACAATGTATTCAAGTTTACTCGTTTCATTGCAGACCAGCAAAAGAACAAAATTAATGAGTCACCCGATGATTTCCTCTATAAATACCTAATGTACTTTAGGTCGTAAACTATTGTATTTTAGGCGTTGACCCAACCTAACTTAACCTGACCTTAAAGACATTAGGTTATAACCTATCATTCATTAAAGATTACCCTAGAGATTCTCAAAGATCAGTGAAATTTTACTTTCACTAATCTCTTTTTTTTAAATTTTAATTTTTTTTTGTGTGTGTATGTGTAGCTTTGTCATTTATAAGAATGTTTCGAAGGATCTGAGAGTTTCTATGGAAATTTCAAAACCGAGGAAGTTTAATCTATAAATATACTTCTTGTATTGTCCTTTTCTTTCATAAAAGTTCAAAAATAGGATCCATTCTAAAATTTTCCCCGAATTTTTTCTTTTAAAAATGCAGGCATCCGGCACGAGTGACCGATATGCGAGGATAACATCAATTTGTTTTGTGCTTTTTAAACTTTGATAATTTGAATATTCAAGGCACACTGGCAATAGCAGTCAGACAGTTCTATCTTGCGATTTTATATTTTTTCCCTATACAGCATCATGGCAAAAAATGGTCGCAGGTTTGGAGAAATGAAATGATATCAAACAAAAACGTAATTTTCCTGAGAATAGTTCTGTATTTTTCTGCTTTTACGAAGAAAAACAATCTCAGCAAGGATTTAGTATCCCTGACTGTTAAGCTCAGGTTTTGGGTTCTAGTAGCATGGTTGTGGGTAAGCGGGCTCGGCGCAGGGAGCCGGGGGGCAGACCTCTTCAACAATGACGGCGGCAGGGGCTTCCTTCTCGTAGAAAGCGGGGGCGGCGTACTCGTCGACAACAACCGGTTTCTGGGTGAAGACGTTGAGGGCGGCGGACTGCTTGTGCTTGATGATGTAGGGCTTGCCGAAGTAGTTGATCTCGTAGGGGTAGGATTCGTGCTCGATCACTCCTGGGGCCTTGAACATGATGTTGGCGGGGGCCGGGAGCACGGACTTGACGACGACGGGTTTGATCTCCGGAAGGGGTGGCCTGGGGCAGGACAGCTTGGAGGGGTAAGGGTTGGCGGCGGCGAGGTTGAGGACGGCCAGAGCGGCGACGATAACGACGAAAGCCATTTTGGAGAGATGGAAGGTGATGGTACTGCTTTGGGACGTCGAAGAAAGTGATGATTTACCTGATGGAAGCTGTGTGTTTTATAGTCATCACGTTGGGATAGAACTGAGATTCAAGGAGATTCGACCTATCTTTGTGGAAGATCAACACGCGGAATGGAATCAATCGGAAAGGCATTAAGCATGTGTTTGAATAGATGGGAACTTTGGACCTCAGTTTGAAAAGATGTTTCCACGTGTTTTGATTGGATCGCGAACTTGAGGAAAATTGAGATGAGGAAGCTTCGCGGCCTGCCGGTCTTCAACTTGTTGTATTGTGTTTGGTAGCGAGCGTGAACTTGAACTTGAAATCGAAATGATTGACTCTGATGAGTATCGACGGTGAAACTACTAGTGGCGTGGCGTGCTTTGCGATATATCGATTGATCTATCATTTGAACCTGTGGAAAAGGATCAATTAACAGGATGCTCGCAGCGAACACCTGAATGATCGATTCATTACCGCGGATTCAAATGGGGAAATATCGATAATCGATCATTCACGCCACGCCACTGGAAGGTACCAGAACACATATCCCAGATTGCGGCTTTGCAGACTTTCTGTCATACTTCATTTTTAGATGGAAAACTACTCAACGACAATTCTTGCTAACTTTTGTGATTTTTCTGCTCTGTGCGAAGAAAACTCTAAGGAAGCTTCAAGGAATGATATCAATCCGTTCCTTAAAAAAAATAAATGTAATCGGATATTTTTCAACACCGTAAAAAAGATACGTGTGTAGAAAGTTTAACCGTTGATAAGTGGGAACTTGAGTTGGCATGCTATCTTCGGCATGATAGCTGCTTTAAAAGAAAGAAAGAAAAAAAGAAAGAAAGAAATAAATAAATAAATAAATAAATAAATAAAAAAAAACTTACATGAAATTTTGAATATATTTTCTTTTGACTCATTCTGCAAAAATGTTCTCAATGAGTATAGTTCCGAAATATGTGGCGCCCTCAGAACCCGAAATTTTATCTTCTCGCGACGAAGGAGAAATTTCTGCAATGCTGTGACATCTTTTACCCTCTAACCCCGCATAAGAAATTTCTGTATCCTGCTTCTGAAAACTAGACACGCGACTGTAGACACATTGCTTCTTAACGTCATGTCAGTTTGCCTTCAATTTTTCGCGTAGGCAACACGAGCATCCTTGCGGTCAAATACTGGTATCATCGTAAAATTGCACACTCACCTTGGACGCGCCCAACTAAGAACTTTTTACAGAACGGGAAGAGGTGACGTTCACGTCTTCTCAGTAGCCTTCAATTTTTCGTGTAGGCAACACAAGATCCCTCGTGGTCGAATAGTGGTATCAAACTGAAAACTGCACGATGCATAACCATGAAGATAGTCTAAGGCAGGTAGAATTTTCTTCTCTGAGGATTTTTTGGATAATGTGAGAGAAGGAATAGCATATAGCGTAGAATGTCTGTTTTCCTTACTTTTTATTTATTGGAAAATCAAATATTCTTCAATCGTATTATTATTTTAAATATGGACGTTTTTAAATTTTTTGTGAATTTACGGCCAGTGAGCAACAAAGCAAAGTGTTTTGTGGTGCGAGACACAATTTTGCATGTCACTCACGAGAATGAAATTAGCAGTCATTTCTTACCTGATTTCATATCTGATAGATTTTTTTCTGGGGCTTTCATCGGGGTTTTGGGGCAGTACTCGGAGTTCCCTGTGCGAAACGTGGGACCGTCTCACCATAACATTGAATTTCTTAAATTTTCGGTGTACTTATTGATCTTGAAATTGATTCGGCTGGGTTCTCTTTTGATGTTGCATCATGCCAGCTTGCATTCGGATATGCTGAGTTTCATAGAATGTTTTACCTTTTTCGTGATTTTTGCAAATAAACCTCGTTTTCTACTTTATTGTCGCACCCCTTGCGCCATCCTCTGCATCCTATTTGATGTGTGTTATCAGCCCTTGATCATTCGACACATATCTTTTTTAAAACCCTCGATACAAGTTTGTTCCATTTGCAATGAACTATCTGAGTTATTCTACAGTGCTGAGGAAAAAAGCCGTATGAACCATTGGCTGTTGCCTTTGATAAAATATACTGATTTACCGAAAAAGTTGTGAGTATTTATCTTCTAATTTTACATACAACATTGTTCGCACTTCAATCTAAAATATCTGACAATATTAAGGAAAAATATAACTTCATTCCTAAATCAACGTTCCGTCAGAGGAAATTTAGCAACTCTCCAATGTTCATGAGTCGTTTTTCCTTAGCATGGCAGAATTGTCCCTTCTCCTCAACTTTTAGCAAAACAGATGCGATTTTCTTGTAAGGGTGTTGAGTACACAGCCCTGCGTTTTTTTTTTTTTTTTGGTCATGTCTTGTTGCATGGGATAACTTGATTGATTCTTATTTATTTTTTAGCGCTGAGTTCGGGAAAAAATATCCAAAAAATTCCATCACGTTAGGATTTTCCGCAAATTCAAAATTTTGGTTTTTTCGGGGCAAAAATTTCCAAAAAATTTAATTTGTTTTCTTTTTTCTTTTCAACCATTGATTTTGGTCTGTAGTATATCTACTATGTATAAAATAACCATTGCACGTCTAAAAGAATCCTCAAAGAGTGATACTTGTCCGAATGTCGTCAAATTGTATGCATTTATAGGTGATTTTTATTCCCCAAAAAATCGTTTTCCGGTCAGAATTTTTAAAAATACAACTCGAAAAAAATGTATTCCCCCATAATTTACTTCCGTTAGTACCCACTAATCACCAGAAAAAGTAAACACAAGTTTCTAAAATATTAGGAAGAGGGGGGCGGCGCTAAGATGTCATGAGAGCTCCACTCGGCTCGCGGCTTCTTCTCGCCGCGCGCCGTTTCGCGCAGGTTCCGAGGGAACGCNGGAATCTCACGTCGCTGATTTTGCACCATCAGCTCAGGTGGGGAGAAGCCGCGAACCCCGTGGAGCTCTCATGTGACGCGCGCTAGCGCCTACAAACCTAACAGGGATACTTCACGCACTGCGCAATGCGTGAAGTATCCCTGTTAGGTTTGTAGGAGCCTGTGCGCCTGGTTACCCGCCGCGCTGCGGAGTGCCACGGCGCTTCAAGCAACTATTTCGCAACAGAGGTGTTGCACAGTATCATACGAAATTGAAAGCGCTCTAACGCATCAAGTTTGACAGGCATCCGTTAAGAGTACAAGCTTTCCTCGCAAAATAAATCAAGGTACTACCGCACAAAAAGAGAGCGGTACTCCAAAACTCACTAAGTCCTAGCATCCGTCTTTAGTAAAATTTAGAATAATTTTTTAATTTCATCAGAGAAAAAAGGGACTCGATTTCGGTAGAAACATTCTTGAGTATGCCGTCAAGAAGATTTTATTTTGAACCAAGAATAAAATAGATGAATAAAGGCGGGTTTCTGCTTGATGCATGCGACTTTTCTTGTTTTATAAGCATCTTTTCTTCTTTGTGCAAGCATTATTTTCTTTAATGATTCATAGGAAAATCTTCTTGGCGGTAAATTGGAGCATATTTCTGCTTGAATCAAATCACTTTTTCCTCTAATGAAGTTCAAAAATCTTACTAAACGTTACTGAATACGGACACTAGGACTTGGTAAGTTTTCCGACTACCACTCCCTTTTTGTCGTCGTCACTCGCTTTAATTTGTGAGAGAACATCGTGATTTAATGGATGCCATCGAGCATGGTACGTTGAGGCGCCTTCAATCTCGTATGATACTATGCAACACCTCCGAGGCGAAACAGTTGCTCGAGGCAACGCTACGCCGTCGCGAAATTATCGAACCCAGGAAAAATCCAAGAGCCTATAGCTGAGGCAAATCAACGGGTTTATCTTGTTCAGGTATAACAAGGTGGAATTTTCTTGAAATGTAATTAAGTCTTGTTGCACCAAAGATGTGTAGTGAGTTTTAGTGAGCCCTCATGAAATTTGCCCTCCCCCGTTTTTACCAAAAATCTCAATTTATAATTTACAAATGATATTTTTTTTCATTGAAACAAATAAACAAAAAAGAAACTCCTCAATCTTCCAAGATATTATAATTTTCATCCAAAAACATCGTGAGGAAAAGTATAAAAAAAATATGTCATAATCCCCCAACATTACCGCCCTCACAAACCGTGGCAATCGAGCTCATTGGCGCGCGTGGTTCGGAAGTTTATGCATTTTTGTGCTAATTTGCTGGTTACACGATCAAATTGAGCCATCAAATTGAAAATCTGATTGGTGGAAAAAGACCTGAGGTGAGGATGCGACCAATGAGAGGGCCCAATTTGATGGCTCAATTTGATCGTGTAACTGGACCTTAGGTCTTTCAACTTGTATATGATTTAGGTGGGCGGTATTTTTATTTTTTTAAGCGGAGTTATGATTCCCTATATTCTACTATTAACTCTAAGGTACACTTTTCTCAGGGCAGGGGGGGGGGAATCTGTGCCGCTTCCCCCCCCCCCCCAAAAAAAGTTTGAATCCTGTCTCTTTTCTAGCTGGAGACGAGGGAAGGTCTAAGTCTGAAAATTGAAGTTTTCATGCATTAATTAGAACAAACAAGGAAATTTAGCAAATGAGGCCTCCAATTTTTATCCTAAAGAATCACTTTGGGAAACCCTCTCGGTTGTAGGTGAAGAACGAAAAGAAAGAATTGAAAAAAAAAACGTTTTTGAAAATCCATTGAATAGATTTTGAGAAAAGTGAAATTTACGGTCAAAAAAACGTTTTTGAAGAAAAACCTGTTAGAAGTTTTGAACAGATGGATTGCATACTCCATG